GTTATTTAACTTTCTTTTAACTCCTTAAAAATTGGCAACTCTGACACGAGAAATGCCCTGTAGAAATGAAAACAGGCACGTAGTTTGGGGGGAAAAAATCTTTGTCAGTGCAGCAGCTCTGCCTGCATCTTCACATGGTTCTGTCTCCTGAAAGTGCTGCTTCATGGAAAGCCCCTCTTGATAGGACTCCTGTCTCCAGCCCATCTCCTTGTGATGAGGTGATAGCCAGAGCTCGGACAGCCCCCGGCCCAGAGGACACCCATCCTAAGCTCTGCTCTTGCAGACAGAAGCCATAAATAGGACAATCTGTGCTCTTTGGCTCTCTCTGCTGGCTGCAGTGCACCCCATTCCTGGGCTTGTGCTCAGCCATGTACCCCCACATTGCACCCTTTGGGGAACAGGCTGGAGTGGGGAGCAGAGGCGCAGGGAAAGAAATATTGCATTTGAGCTTCTGGGAGGAATCACAAATCCTGACAAGCACAAGAAGTAAAATAGGGAAGAAAAGAGGTGGCAGCGAAGATTTACAAAAGAGCTGTGCAAACGTGACAGCCAATTTCCAGGAGGATCCTTTTTCTTCCTTAAACCTCAGTCCTGAGCAAAACGAGATTTTCGTTGAAGGCAGAACATGGAGCTGTGTAAGGGATCAAACACTGCCTCAGGGCACAGCAGCTCTGGACTTATTGCCCAGCCAGGAGGGATTCACCAACCTCTGCTCTGTGCTCAAGGGAATCTCCTAACAAGGGTTGAGGGACAAGCAACGGAGGGCCCAGGAGCATCTCTCTGCTCACCTCCTGGGAATGCTTTGCAAGGGCTGGAGGCTCTCTGTTCCACAGAGCACGGTAGGCTGAGCTGCACGGGAGGGGAGGCAGGCAGCAGAGAGCATCAGGAGGGATGCTCTGGCATTGTGTGTGAGACCAAGTCCCTTTCTGGTCCAGCAGCCAACCCAGATGATGAACAAAGTCTGGATATGAGTGCATCATTTTATGCTTTCTCATGTTATTTCTCCATAAGAAATACTGGGGACCTTCATTAAATTAATTTTGTCAGTGGAATGACCAAGTGGGTTTCTTTGTCAGATGATGTTAGAAATATTAGTTCATGGCACAAACTGGTGTTTGTACTATACATATAAGTAAAACTGAATTTGGTGATTTTTTTTGTGATCTTGTTAAATTTTTGTGTGTTCTACAAGTTGTTTATGGGGTAAATCTCCTAAGACTGGAATCCGAATATTCTTCTGAGGTGCTCACAAGCATCTGGCCAAACAGCTATTCTCAGAAGAGCAATTAGGTGTTAACAAAAAGTAACAAATAATTCCCTCATAAAATGAAGGCAGAGGAGAAGAAAATGCTCAGTGTAAGTGAGTTTTATTGCATTATTCTGGTGAGAAGCTGTCAAAGAGTAAGAAGGTGTTGAGAGAGCAGAGAGTACAGTCTGTTCCTTTATCATAATAACTTTTATTGCCTAGGTATAGCTTTTCTCACTCTGGTCAATAAACACCCTGCTGCTTTGCTTTCAGAGAATTAGGACTGGGTTGAAGCAGTGAGTGCTTCTTTCCAAACGCCTGGTGCAGACCTGTACAGGTGACTAGAGGTTGCTCCAGTGCTCTCCAGAGGTGTTGGAAGTTTGCAGGATGAAAGGGGAGAAGATTCCTGCAGTGAGAGCAGAGGTCTGGGAATCCGAGCTGCTCCTGGTGGCTGTGGATCAGAGTGATGGTGCAATGCTTGCTGAGAGCCACAGAGGCAGAGAAAGGCAAAGGCAGGGCAGAGCAGCTTCCAGGTTGTGCTGGGTGAAGGGTGGTTGTGCCCATGGGTCCAGAGTCTTGGTGTTCTGCAGAGCTAAGAGTAGTTAGCTGGTGCCAGAGTGGACCCAGGCTATGAAGTCTGTATCCCACAAGTATTTAATCTGAACCACAGCTAGGATCACTTCAAGCTATCTGTCACCAACAAGGCTTCGGGGCCAAGGAAGACTTTCCTTTTTTACCAATTTGGGCTGCACATACAAAAGACGAATCCTGGCCTGCTTGCTAGAGCAAATGAGCCTCCCTGGCATTGTTAGTTGGAGAGTTTGCTGCTGGGGATGGCTGAGAAGCTCATCACTGACTTCTCATCTGGGGAAGTGTGTTTCGAGGCCTTATACAACCTTTTCTGGTTTTCATTAAAAGCAACTCTTCAGACAGCAGTTTCAAGCTGTTTTATGTGGTTCCTCATGGACCTTTCCCTGCACTGCCTCAGATGAATCACCAGGTTGAAGGTACCTGCTGGAAAGGGGATTGCTCTGGGTCTGCCCGTGACACCGAGTGGAAGAGAGGAGATGAATCAGCTGTGTGTGGATCATCCCAGCCCTTAAACTCCCTCAGGCCCATGCTGAGGCTGCTCCTCCATGGAGCTCTGCACTACAGAGAACATTGCCTGAAAACCTCTCACAAAAACTGCTCTGCCCTTTGGCAGCTCTGGCTGTGGGAACTGACCGTCCCTGTGCTGATCCCAGATTCAGCTTTGCCCAGCAAGTCTTCCCAGCCCAGGACACTGTTTTGTGGCTGTGTGGCCAGGGATTAAATACAGTAATTTAATCTCTTTACCCCATAATTCCCACCTATCAAAGAGAAATAATAAATCATTCTTTGTCTTTCTAGTCTTTTTAGCTCAGCAGGGCAAGACCATCTCGTGCATTGTGCTTATATGGCTCCCAGCACCTGGGATGGCTGGCACTGCTGGAGTGCAATTACACGTGATGATACTGTGTTTAATGCCCTGGGAGCCATCTCCCCAAACTCCAGAAGCTCCTGAATTGAGAAAAGGAGCAGGTTTGTCTTTCTGCCTCTGAACTGAGGACATTTGTACATGCTTCCACCAGTATGTCTTCGTTAAGCTTTGCAGAAGCTGCTGTGATGTGACACCAGCTGTATTGCTGAAACAGGCTGGTGTAGTGTGTGAATCACTTTGTCTTTAATTCCTCCTTGTGCTTGAGGATCGTTTGCATCCCTATTAGTGATGAGTTTCACTCCAGCAATTAGCAGGATGAAAGTCCCTTCAGAAGCACTGGCTGAGCATAGTGTCCAAAAGGAAAAAACCTCAGGAGGGTAGGGGTCTATTTATATCCCACAGAAGATGGACTTTGTGCGTAAGAATATTCAAGCCCCTGGCACCTCCACCCCCTTTCTGTTCCTGTAGCCTCTCTCTTCAGGCTGTCTCAGCACTGAAGAATTAGCTACTTTCTGAAAACGAAGTGAAACCTCAGTCAAGACAGGAGTGAGCAGCCAGGGATGGGAAGTCTCTGCTTCACTGAATCCCCTAAAATCTGCTTCCTCGACGATGCACAGCAGCAAAGGAATCAGATGAGAGCTAGGATCGTTGCTTTCTCCTCAGTCTGTCTCCACACTTACAGAGAGGGTCCTATTCTCATCCCATCTGCTTTTAGGGCTGAGAAACGATCTATGTTACCTGCACTTCTTGAATGCCTTTTTGGAGGCTTCCCCCCAGCAGTGCCAGCCCTGCCCCTCTCCCAGGGGTGAGTTAATCCTGTACCCTCCACAGCTGCACCAGCCACAGAAATGCAGGGGGTGCAAAAGGGTGCCCTGTGTGCCAGGGCTCTCCCCCTGTGCCCCCGAAATGCAGGGAGGGTCACTGTTCCCTGCCCACTCTGCCATGCACCCAGCTTCAGTAGAGAGGGCAGAGCCCTCAACCCCACCGCACTGCACGCAGGGCAGCGGTGGCCGAGGACCACACATTTCACCAGGTCACACCACAAAACCTATCCATCTTGTAAGGGAGGAGGAGAGGAGGCTCCCAGGAGCTGGGGGGGTGCACGACTATGTCACGGCAAGGCTTCTCCAAGTGGGTGCAGGATCCAGCTTCCCCGGCAGCAGCCAGGCAAGGAGCAGGCAGCCCTTAACCCTGCCTGCAGCACAGGCTGCCCTGCTCCAGGGAGGGAGGGCAGCGTCCTGTCCTGTCTCTGGACTCAGAAAGGATGATGCCAGAATAAAGAATAAAGGCAACAGCCCATGAGCCATCAGGAACGATGTCCCACAGAGAGCAATGCTCGACACAGACCAGAGGCGACTTAACATACCCTCAGTTGGGAAATTCACCTCCACCATGGTCATGCTCAGCTCTCCACTCAGGAATATCTCTAAGATCCTCCATTTTTCACCTTTCCTTCACATGGAAGGCTACAAAATGTTTGTTACCTTTAATCCTGAATGATTAATTTCTCATCAAAGTGACACCTGTCCCCCGTTCAGGGTGCACACTCTATGGCTCCAACTCACCCACGATGGCATGTCACAAACCAGCACAGCTAGAAAGGGAAGAGACTCTGCAAAAGCACAAAGAATTTCTCCTCCATCGAGAGAAGCATGTCTTTTTCCTGACATGCTATCTCCTACCCTACTGAACCTTTCATTATTGCCTTTAATGATGATATAGTGGGCAGAAAAACTGATGCAACCAGTTTATTAGATGGAGAGGGGCTGATGGCATGGGGTTATATCTCAGCTTTACAGGGAGGTGAAACCTCCCCCCGTGCAGAGGAACAAATTGCTGAGGATGTCACAAGGGGTAAAATATGCCAGGTAAGAAAACCTTTTAGTGTTTGTGGCTGAGGAGGGAATGAGGTATGTGTGGGGTAAACGTACTGTGAACCATTTTTATGATCACCACCGCTTGGAATACACAGCTGTGATTTATAGTGATGCCTCTGGTGATGGGTGTAAATCCTCTAGACTGACTGAAGTGCCAGTGCCGTGGATTTGACTCAGTCACAATTACAGGGATTTGATATCTAAAATACCACTGTGCCTCTAGGTCCCTCAGAAAGACCACAGCAAAAAACCCCAAAAAAACAAAAACAAAAAAACCCCCCAACTTTAAAGAAATATGATGTGTGTGAGCATACATGTGGATGCTCTTTGCTGCTTCTGCCCTAAAACGGGCAGCATTTTGAAGACAAGCAGCCTGAGAGGTAACTTAGGTTTTCTCATTGACCACCATGTCTCAGCATCACCGTTTGAAACATAAATTTTATTGCAACAAAGAATTAAAAATAGTACATCTGAAAGAATGCATGTCATTAAAGAACTAGTCAGAAATCACAACTCAAGCAAATCGTGTACAATTGGAACAGAAAGTTTTATTAAAACAATTGGAAATCAAACTCAAATTTTCCTTGTTTCTTTAATTTCACCATAACCGTGGATTGTGTATTTACAGTCTTCGCCTCTTGTGGTGAAGGTTCTGCTCGGGGCAGGGGACTATGAAGAAGGCGGGGAGGGATGGGGAGCAGAGGTGGGTTTCAAAAGCTAACAGGATGTGAAAGTTTTCCAGAAGAAGTTCTTGCAGCCTGCTTTGCGTTCCCGGGGTGCCAGAGCGGGGTTTGAGTTAGCTGAGCGCTCCAGCTCCAGTCTCACTTCATCCTGCTCACCCCCTCGGGACAAGTCCTCAGACTCCAGGGCTTCATTTTCTGTCTGGCTTGGCTCTGAGAGCAGTTCTGCCAAAAAGTACTTGGCCAGTTCCTTGGGGGAGAAAAGAGAGAAAGAGGGAGAGAGAGACCACAGTTATTTCTTGGCTTTTGGGGGTTCACCACTCTGTCCCTCTAAGACACCTTTGTGCCCTGATTAGAGACATACAGGACTGTGAAGGAGAAGGGGAGCCCCAGCTTTCCAAAAAGCCCAGCCCGACAGCTACTACGCAGCAGCTGCGCCTATGAAATAAAGAGGAGCGGAAGAACGCTGACATCTACCTGGTGTGGGGAAGGGACAACTGTCCTGGCCATGGCAGGGAATTAACGAACTCATCTGAAGCACTACATCAGCTTCCCTTCCCGCTGCTCCAGCACTCCGTGCCGGACTCAGTGAGGATACCGCGAGGCGGCTGCTAAAGTGACATGAGGGAGCTTGCAAGGGAGACTGAGCAGGGTTACCCTCTCATTGGGGGTTATTTTTCCTCTTGTCCCTCCAAGCCCTGGCTGCCCCTTGCATGGATAAGGACATCCTCCTGCTGTACTGGGACAGCTGCCCCGGTTCAGTGCCCTGGAGAAGCCCTGGAGAGCTTCACCAGGGGCTCTGCCCTCTGCCCCAGCAGTGGCTGCTCCTCATCCCCTGCCAGCACCCAGCGGGGCTGGACTGGAAGGGTGTCTCCCCATCCCACCCCCAGCTGTCCAGCCTGTCACTGGCTCAGCCCTGGCAGGGAACCAGGGGATCTGTCAGGGAACCAGGGTCTGCAGTGAGCAATGGGGGGTCTGAAACGGGGACAGTGGAGAGGTCTGGTGAGGAACTGGAGGTCTGCACTGAGGGTACTGGGATGTCCAATGGGGAAATGGAGATCTGCACCGAGGATACTGGGTTGTCTGGTGGGGAACTGGAGGGGTCTGCAGCAGGGAAACTGGGGGCATGCAATGAGGGTGCCAGGGGCTCTGCTGGGGAAATGGAGGGTCTGCAGCAGGGAATCAGGGGGGGTCTCTGGAGGAGAAGCAGGGGTCTGCAGTGGAGAAGCAGGGGTCTGCAGCAAGGCCGTTGGGGTGCCCGAGGAGTGCCCGGGGTTGCCGCCCC